TCATAATATTGCAACTTGTCATCAAAGTCACAACTCTTCATAAAAGTCGCAACTCTTCATTTTCCATTCACACCTTTTAAAACCCAACACAAATAAGGGTCATAACTTTACTGGATTACTATTGAAAAAGGTTTTCAAAACCCCTTTACCTGCACTACCTGACTCTGCCCCTGAGTTCATATATACGCCTATGTTATAGTACTATTTGTCTATATATATGCTCATAACGTTACAAAAATGGTTCATATGAATAGAAAGATAGATTCAGAAATGTTGATTACGATAAGCAATACAGCTTGGCCACTATTCAGATCTGACCAACTGCTCCAGAAGCAGCTGAAACAAACACAGTTTCTCCCTTCTTCGGAGAGCAAATCTCATAAAAACCAACATAAGCTGTCATCCCAGGCATTCCTGCAAAACAATAATTGTCCGAGTCCATATAAACAGATCACCGGTCCATTCTCCAATCAATCAATGTGGAACTCTTAACACTTCCTTCCCATACAGGAACAGACAAGGTTCACATATCATGTAAAGTTACGAGGCTTGTGTCTAACTCAACCCCAAAAAATTAGTTTAACATAAGAAATTTTTCCAAGTACATATAAGCAGACCCCAACCAACGTGGATGCTAACTCACTCTAACATATAAGTCTTTGATGGAATAGAAAGCGACATTAGTAAGACAACAATGGATTATAAAAATATAAGCAGACCATCAGTCCATTCCTCAATCAATGCGTGAAAACAGTCGTTATACTGAGAAGAGAACAACTCACCAAGGATTCCTGTATAGTAAGAAAGAGGTACATTCTTGTCATGAATTTTAAACTGAGCACTCTGAGTAGCAGTTACAATACTATACTCCTCCCATCCAGTCATTCCCCAAACTAAGTCACCTTCTTGAAAATTTGAATCACCAGACTTCAAAACTTTAGCCACTCCACATCCTGTGATAGGCTATAACATAACACAAAAGAGAAGTACTTATGAGAAACATTATTATATAGGTACATAAGGAATAAACATTCAGTTGGGAGAATGAAGTTCACTTATCCTCAATGTTTCTAACATCTAAAGAATTCTTGAAAAAGAAACGAAAAATGAAATAGGGTGCGCGGAGGAAACATTTTTCTCTCCCCTCATCTGAGATCTCTGGGGAATAGGATCAAGTTGGCCCTTGCGAACAACTTGATGCACTATCTCCCTTCAACCCTTTGAGCGAAATGCGGCAAAAGAAAAGGAAGGAAAATCCATGGACCGACCCCATCATCTCCACCCCATAGGAACTACGAGATCACCCCAAGGATGGCTTCGGCATCCGGGGGTCACGGACCGACCATAGGACCCTGTTCAATAAGTGGAACGCATTAGCTGTCCGCTCTCAGGCTGGGTAGTCAGGGTCAGAGAAGGGCAATGACTCATTCCTAAAACCAGCGTTCTTAAGACCAAAGAGTTGGGCGGAACGGGGGGCGGGGAAGCCCTCCATTCCTGGTTCTCCTGTAGTTGGATCCTCCGGAACCACAAGAATCGTTAGTTAGAATGGGATTCCAACTCAGCACCTTTGAAGTGAGATTTTGAGAACTCGGATACGAAGGTATCAAATAGGCTATATCAAACTCGTATGCCTAGTAATTTTTTCATGTTCGTATAGTAAAGGTTATCCTGGAAGCAGTGGCGGAGCTAGAATTTTTAATAAGAGGGTTCAATATCTGAAGAACTAAACACATGAACTAACTGAAGGAGGTTCGGCATCTATTATATATACATAAAAAATAATAATTTAACCATGTATAAATAGTAATATTTCCGGTCGAAGGGGGTTCAGATGAACCCCTAACTGAAGGTTGGCTCCGCCCCTGCCTGGAATTAGGAAAATAAGTTCCACAAATGAAATTCCACTTCAATTGTGTCCTCCCCGTTCTTTAACACACTTTATCTACACTTATCCCACACGCCTATCTCACATAGTATTTATCTAGATTATACACAAATATTTTTCACTTACGCATATTAAATATAAGAAAATAAATATGAAACTCATTCATTTTCTAAGAAAATATACTCATCATTACCAAACACCCCCTAGATATATAATGTTAAAATAGAAAACATCCAAGGTCTACACAATTACATGGTAAATTTAAACTCACTTGTAAATTGTTTCAACAATAACAAGAAATGCTTGTATGTTAATTAAGGAAAAATCCACAATCATAACATGACAAAAGGAACATAAAATTTAGATCGATATGATAAATCCAACATCGTTATTTATCGAAATACAAGGGCGACTCAATAAAATAAGTGAACGACTTACAGAACCAGGAGTGAAGGATTGAACATAGCTACCCTCAAGTTTGCTCATGCGGGAACGCATGTAAGGGTCACAAGACAAGTAAAGATTCTTCAAAACAACAACATTAGAACCTTCTGGAACATTCAATTTAATGTTGTTATTCTTAAATTCCATATCAGATTCCTTAGGATAACCTTCCACATAATGTTTTAGAATGATCTGTTTGTTGTTCATCACTTCCTCTGCCATTTCTCACTTTAATTTATGTGAATCAAAAGTTGGTGAAGAATATATCTGGATCCGGCTCCTCTTCATTTTTTCACCCTAAATTGATATATAAGTAAAATTTAATGGCAAGATTTAATTAATCAAAATAAATCTTTTTTATGATTTAGATAATTAATACTATATTGTATATATTTGATTCTGTTAATTATTATTAATCTTGCAATCTTAAATCTCTTCACATTTTTTGTTTTCCCTATGTAGGATATCTACCCATCAAATTTTATAAAAGTTTTGCCCTTCTCTCTTTGATAACCATCTCCTACAATCTTGTGCTACAATGTAATATTTTTCTTTTCACATATTTCAATATTAATAAAATACACTATATTTACTCTAATGATTATTACTATTCACCATGTATTTTCTTGTTGTTTATTTTATTAAAAATATTGTTATTTGCCTAAATAAGTTCAAGGGTAAACAATAAGAATTTCTTTGAGTCTACTTATGTGCCTTTTCGAAATTATCGTTTGTGTCAGATTTCAGTTCCCAAATACATACATGTGATGCATCCAGATATATGAATTAAAATTAGGTGTAATTTTGTTCAGATACATTTTATTCAAGCATAATTCACATTATCCAGAAACACTGACTCTCTCTCTCATCTCTCTTATCTTACTGGTCTCTCTCCTTCTCTTGCTCACCTCTTTTCCTTTTGTATCTATATTTCAGAATGTTTATGAAATGCATCTGATATATACATGTATCTAGTGTGACACGCATGTATCTAGGATACACTGACTCTTTCGCTCACCTCTCTCCTCTCTTGCTTGCCTCTCTCCTCTCCCGCTTGCCTATTTCCCTATGTATCTATTTTCAAAATATAAATGGTATTCCAAATACATGTACATGTATCTAGTGTGATTTGTATATATATATATATATATATATATATATATGGGATACACTGACTCTTTCACTCGCCTCTCACCTCTCTCATCTCTCCTTCTCCTCTCGCTCCCTCTCTTCCTATGTATCTGCATATCTAGTACAAAAAATACATGTACCAAGGTATATCTGACTTGAAATCTAGTATGAAATTATCAATTAATGACTAATTATTTCAAACCATACAGAGAATTAGTAAATACATGATAGAAATGTTTGCGTATTTAAGTATTTTAACCATGACACAATATCTTTCCTTTCAAGTAAAAACTTGAGAGAAAATGGAAAAGATCCAAATCCATTCATTCACATGAAATCATCACAACTTGCTTTCCAACATTGAGACCAGAGAAGAGACCAACTAGAGCACTAGGAGCACTTTCAAAACCTTCAGCTATGTCTTCCACATACACAATGTTACCAGCCTTTATTTCTGGAATGATCATTTCCAAATACTTAGGATATAGATGATAGTAATCAAAAACAAGAAATCCTTCCATAGGGATTCGTTTCGCAATGAGGCAAAACAAATCATTCCACACACAGCAATACGACCATGAAGTTTCATATTCACAAGAACTGCATCAAGCATTTTACCTCCAACATTCTCAAAGTGAATGTCAATTCCATCAGGGAAGTACCTAATAGAATAAACCAATACGAAAAAAGGTCATATTTACTCCTATATTATTGAAAATTAAAGGTCTAGTATTGCTTTTCCGTTATATTATCAGTTCATATATACCTTTAGCGTTATATTAGCTATCTTTTCATATATGCCCTTAATGTTCAATCCACCACACACAATTCTTCTGAGGTGAAGGGACTATTTCTACTAGATAAGTGGCAACTTTAGCATAAGGAGAAGATACGACAAATGTAATTTTTTTGTTAATTGAACCAGTGTATTTTTCTTATAGTATGAAAGTCTATGTCATAAGGGTCTTTTTGTAGATTGTTTAGTTTATCCTCGTTGTTCACTATCAAGAGGTTAGGTCCATGTCCCCCTCTGCTTTTGTTAACTTTTTGGATGTTATAGACATGGTAGGGGTCAAGCACCCCCCCCCCCAACACACACACATTATCAAAGTAAATGTCAATTCCATCAGAAAAGTACCTATAATAGGAATAAACCGATACAAAAGAAGGTCATATTTGTTAGTTATATCGTAGGTCTTAAACTCAACAGACATATCTATTCATGAAAGAACATGACTATTACATACACATGCAATATCTCTTTAAGGAAAATGAATCCTCACGCCTCAAAGTCATCTTCTTTTACCTCTTTACTATTGAAAAAGGTTTAATAATGCTCTGTTATACTATCAGTACATTAGTGATGGAGCCAAGATTTTCATTAAAGAATATGAAGAAGTAAAAACAAGATTTTCATTAAGAGGGTCTCGTAACTAATTCATGTATTAGTAATACATCCATAACTCTAGCCAGCTACCAAACGACCACTTAATGTTATAGTACTATCGGCGCATATATGTCCTTAATGTTATAAAAATGATTCAAATTCGTCCTTAGTCCCCATCCTTTTGCCATATTAGTTAGTGTTCAACATATCAACATATCATCTAAATCCTGCTCCTCTTTATAGTTAAAAGCTTCATCAAAACCAAACTTGGTCTTCAACATATCAACCTTTAATAATAATAATGAATAGATGAGATAGCTAGATTATTTAACAATGATTAAGATAAGTAAGATAACTTATAAGCCACTAATAAAATTCAAGAATGAAATGTTTAAGTACTTACCTTTTGTTTATTTCCAGCACTACCAACAACATAACAACCTAACATCTTTGCAAATTGTCCAACAAGTTGACCAACTGCTCCAGAAGCAACTGAAACAAACACAGTTTCTCCCTTCTTAGGGGAGCAAACCTCATAAAATCCAGCATAAGCTGTCACCCCAGGCATCCCTGCAAGAGCAGAAGATTATTGTCCGAGTCCATATAAGCAGATTACCAGTCTATTCCCCAACCAACCATCACTACATCAAAAACGATCTTTTAGTGGCAATTAATTAACGGTAATAGCTCAATTGGCACTAAATATGTATCCACGATCACGGGCTGTTTAGATTGACTTTGTTTTAAGTAGCTTATAAGCAAAAACTTAAAAGTCACGAGTTGAGAATATCCATACTTTTAACTTATTTTTGTATTTTCTCAGCCTTAAAAAGGTGTTTTTTATCAAACACCTTCAAAAAGTTTAAAAAGAAGATTAAAAGCCAAAAACTGTTTAAAATAAGTTAATTCAAACACTCACTTATAAAAACACATTAAATATATTTTTTGACTCTCGAAATTTGAACGTATAATATATACCAACTAAATAATCATATGTGTGGTAGTAAATTATTGAAATACTTACATAACCAGTAGTGAAGGATTGAATATAGCTACCCTCAAGTTTGCTCATACGGTTAAGCACGTAAGGGTCACAAGACAAGTAAAGATTCTTCAAAATAACAATCATTAGAACCTTCTTGAACATTCAATTTAATGATACTATTCTTAAATTCCATATCAGATTCCTTAGGATAACCTTCCACATAATGTTTTAGAATGATCTGTTTGTTGTTCATCATTTCTTCTGCCATTTCTAGCTTTAATGTGAATGAAGAGTTGTGGTAAAAATGGGTGTTTATATATATATATATGCGCGCGCAGAGAAAAGTTAGGAGTCCGACTTAATATGTCGTTTGATTTGTAATTTTACAACTTGTAGAATAATGTACGTATAAGTTATGAAAATATTGGTGTATTTATTTTATGTGTCGAATAGTTAATAACTAATATCTCCATTATACTAATATTTGTAAAGTTCTTATCAATTACCAAATGATTCTTAGTTGTATTAGTAGAAATCGATTATTCAAGAAGGTAGAATTGAAGAATAAATTTCAAATAAAAGCATATTTAAAATCCAATTTTATTGAACAAAACCATTGATTTATTACATGGCATGCTCCGTGACCCTACGTAGTTGAGGCATGTGGGAGATATTTGGATGTCAAGTAAATCAAAAAATGTATAAAATTACAAAAAAAATTAGGTTCATGGGGTAATAGGATCTTAGTTTAGTTAAATGTGTTCTGAGATTTCGATCATAGTCTAGAGGAAATACTCGCGTCTTATTCCTTTTTAAATATTGTATCAAATTAAATGTGTTACTTAAAATGGAACTAAAAACGTTTTTTTAATTTTCCCCACATTTATCGTTGCTTTCTCCATTTGCTTAGTTGTCTCCTTGCCGACTCTACCAACCAATTACAACAATGTTTTACAAGCCATTTAAACGTGCTCCCTAATAATTGAAGAGGAAAAACTTAAAAGGGATTTAAAGAAAAAAAATAACAATATTGAGATAAAATACAGAATAAATAATTAGGAGTATTAGTTAGTTCTGAAATTATATATTTTATAATAGTGAAATAAATTATTTTTTTATATAGTAATATAATTATTTATCTCATAAAATATCTCAATTTATGAGATAAATTTTATCTTTTAGTATAATTAACATATATCATATCTTATCTCACCTATCGAACGATCATTTTAAATAAATGAAAAATAGAATAAAAAGATGGAGACATATATAGCTCATCATTGTACGCTGCAGCGAGCACCACAGGAAGAAAATATCCCAACATAATTATCTTTCCAAATTCTATCTATGCTATTGGGTTTATATTGGCATAGTTAGTTCATGAATATTTTGGTTATGTGATTGACGGTCGATTTTTGTGCAAATCCTTTACGGAATCCTCTGTAGAGAGTTGAGAGAGAAATACGTGAAGTCTTGTCATTTTTCAGACATATTTTGGGCTAGTAGGAGTTATTTCTCCTCCATATCATTCTAAAAATGGTGAGATTGTACGTACTGCTCCACTAACTCCCTAGGGAGGGTACCATAAAGGTTCACAAAAACTCGTTCAGAAGTCATATCACCAAATTATTAATGGGATAACACATACAAAAAATTGAGAAAATTGCATGATTCCTGTAAATTGGTCTCTAAATGCCCAAAGTTCACCCTAAAAATGGTGAGATTGTACGTAATGCTCCCCCAACACCTTACGGAGGATTCCATAAAGGTTTTGTAACAAATTCATCTTTAAG